GGGCGGAGAGAACGATTCGGGACCTTAGAGTGGAGATTGAATACATGGCAGAACAGGCAGCGAACGTAGAAATACATATTGTTAATACAATAGACACAGTACCCATTGAACGATTTTATGATTTATAATAATAATTCAAATAGTTAAAATTATTGAACATCATTATTGAATATCACTATTCTATAATGTTTAATTCTTAAAGTGTTGATTAACCAGCTATCATTCTGCTGAGCGTGGAAGTGTCCAACTAGAACTGGCAACTGCCAAAACGGCGATGTCTTGGAAGGAAAGTTAGGAAGGTTGATGGATCGATAAAAGTTCTGTTGATCTTCCTTTACACCTCCTTCGGAAGCCAACAATAAACAATTTTTAGTTATATATTGTAAAAGTCTTATGAATTTTATTTGATTTTAATAATTAATTTTTGAATTTGTTACAAACGCTTCATATAATGCGAGGAAGAAGCGTATTGAGACCAGCTTTACTATTCTAATCAGAACAGAAACTGACTGTGGTACTGTGGGAGACGGTTTTTACCGGCAGATAACCTAAGAGAACATACTCTGACACACTAGTGTAATTTGGTAAGCTGGCCAAAACGGTGATGTCTACAAGAATTTTAGCGGGAAATTTCTTCAAGTTCGAGTCAGGGAGAAAACTGACTGTGAAGACTGACATTTCAAGATTGTACTTGAAAAATGGGCAGTATCGAGATAGCCCTTGTAGAAGGGGGGGGGGGGGGGGGGGTGATCAACTGCAACTGGAGGACTTGGCTGCAATACATCGGCTGGAGGTGATGGGAGCAAGGATGTTTGTGATCCAACTGGAGGACTAGGCTGCAATACATCGGCTGGAGGTGCCAAATGGGCAGTATCGAGATAGCCCGACCACTGTCCGCGGACAGTTGTCCGAACAGTTGCTCCGAATGGGTCCTACTTTGCTTGTAGAAGGGGGGGTGATCAACTGCAACTGGAGGACTAGGCTGCAATACATCGGCTGGAGGTTATGGGAGCAAGGATGTTTGTGGCTGCAATACATCGGCTGGAGGTGATGGGAGCAGGGATGTTTGTGATCCTTGCTGTGTAGTTGGGCTAGTGAAGGGTTCAGCGTTGTCTCTATCTAGCGTGTCTTCAGGAGTTGGTGGAATGGAGTCCGGGAGTTGATGCTCAGGACAAAGCTTTGTTATCTTTTTTGTAGTAGAATGTAGGATCCCATCGAGGACTGAAGATTCTCGGTGGACATTCAAGTGATTCATAACAACGCAGTTGTTACATTTTTTTATCAGAGACTGTTAGTTTATCAGAGACTGTGAGTTTATCAGAGTCTCTGAGTTTATCAGAGACTGTGAGTTTATTAGAGACTGTGAATTTATTAGAGACTGTGAGTTTATTAGAGACTGTGAGTTTATCAGAGACTGTGAGTTTATCAGAGACTGTGAATTTATTAGAGACTGTGAGTTTATCAGAGACTGTGAGTTTATTGGAGACTGTGATTTTATTAGAGACTGTGAGTTTATTAGAGACTGTGAGTTTATTAGACTGTGAGTTTATTAGAGACTGTGAGTTTATCAGAGACTGTGAGTTTATGGGGGGGGGGGGGGGGGGGGGTTGATGAGGCCAAAATCGGAATCGGAAAAATCGGAAAATTGAGAAATTTTAGAGAATCGATCTCTAAAACCTCTCAGAAGTGATAAAAAACCCCTACATATGAGTTTATCAGAGTCTCTGAGTTTATCAGAGACTGTGAGTTTATTAGAGACTGTGAGTTTATTAGAGACTGTGAGTTTATTAGAGACTGTGAGTTTATTAGAGACTGTGAGTTTATCAGAGACTGTAAGTTTATCAGAGACTCTGAGTTTATCAGAGACTGTGAGTTTATTAGAGACTATGAGTTTATTAGAGACTGTGAGTTTATTAGAGACTGTGAGTTTATTAGAGACTGTGAGTTTATTAGAGACTGTGAGTTTACTAGAGACTGTGAGTTTATTAGAGACTGTGAGTTTATTAGAGACTCTGAGTTTATCAGAGACTGTGAGTTTATTAGAGACTGTGAGTTTATTAGAGACTGTGAGTTTATCAGAGACTGTGAATTTATAAGAGACTGTGAGTTTATTAGAGACTGTGAGTTTATTGGAGACTGTGATTTTATTAGAGACTGTGAGTTTATTAGAGACTGTGAGTTTATTAGAGACTGTGAGTTTATTAGAGACTGTGAGTTTATTAGAGACTGTGAGTTTATCAGAGACTGTAAGTTTATCAGAGACTCTGAGTTTATCAGAGACTGTGAGTTTATTAGAGACTATGAGTTTATTAGAGACTGTGAGTTTATTAGAGACTGTGAGTTTATTAGAGACTGTGAGTTTATTAGAGACTGTGAGTTTATTAGAGACTGTGAGTTTATTAGAGACTGTGAGTTTATTAGAGACTCTGAGTTTATCAGAGACTCTGAGTTTATTAGAGACTGTGAGTTTATTAGAGACTGTGAGTTTATCAGAGACTGTGAATTTATAAGAGACTGTGAGTTTATTAGAGACTGTGAGTTTATTGGAGACTGTGATTTTATTAGAGAGTGTGAGTTTATTAGAGAGTGTGAGTTTATTAGAGACTGTGAGTTTATCAGAGACTGTGAGTTAATCAGAGACTGTGAGTTTATCAGAGACTGTGAGTTTATTAGAGACTGTGAGTTTATCAGAGACTGTGAGTTTATCAGAGACTGTGAGTTTATTAGAGACTGTGAGTTTATTATAGACTGTGAGTTTATTAGAGACTGTGAGTTAATCAGAGACTGTGAGTTTATTAGAGACTGTGAGTTTATCAGAGTCTCTGAGTTTATTAGAGACTGTGAGTTTATTAGAGACTGTGAGTTTATTAGAGACTGTGAGTTTATTAGAGACTGTGAGTTTATTAGACTGTGAGTTTATTAGAGACTGTGAGTTTATCAGAGACTGTGAGTTTATGGGGGGGGGGGGGGGGTTGATGAGGCCAAAATCGGAATCGGAAAAATCGGAAAATTGAGAAATTTTAGAGAATCGATCTCTAAAACCTCTCAGAAGTGATAAAAAAACCCCTACATATGCTATATTGTTATGAGAAAACGAACTAATTGGACATTCCAATATAGACTGGAGTACATGGAGTACCAACGAAGAAGGTCCGAAAGGGCACAACAGCAGTAACGCCAACGGTGATGAAAAGGGAGGCCGTGGCGAGGTCAGGACGATTAAAAACTAAGAGGTTAAAGTTGGAGAAGGAGAAGGTATGTTTGCACAAACGTTCATCCTATTCCATTAATTTTAATTTTTAAAGTTTTGACTAACCAGACCCTACTTCAGCTATAATTCTGCCGAGCGTGGAAGTTTTCAACTGGCAACTGCCAAAACGGCGATGTGCACAAGAATTTAGCGGGAAATTTCTTTAAGTTCGAGTCAGGGAGAAAAGAAGACGAGAATCGGACTCTGATGATTGACATTTCAAGATTGTGTAAATGGGACACACGACTTCCATCGCTCCTGATACACTACATAACTTCAATCCTAGATCCTTCTCTCAAAGATTTACGATCCCTGGAAGATTATTTGAAAAAGGTACGTATACCTAATTCATAATTGACTATCTTTCTTATTTTAGTCTGAAAATAATTCTTTTTAAGTGATAACGGAATCCGTTATCCGACTAAGCAAGTAGATAATTTCTGAACCATTATAACATGTATGTACATTGGAAAAAATGTTTTAAATCCTGTGAGATTGTTAATCTGGGTAATTATGGCCATGAGACCGGAGACGACAGACTAGATAGTGCGAAGAAAAAGTTAAATTACAATGTTGGTTTAAATTATCAGATGTGCGACTCGTAGATTAAGATATTGCTGGGTTACCCAGTTATATATTTCAGGATCAAAATCAATTCCTTGATAATATAGACTTCTAGACAGATACCAGTTACTGTCAACAATGGATAAAGCTTTACGGCCGGAACGTTTAGAGCTACACCCACGGGACAATACCGACGAGAAGAAACAAAGTATAATTACAATAAGCAATTCTGTTATTAATACTGCTTGTAATGTTCAAACGTTTATTAACACCCTGCTGTTATCAAAGCACTCAGACAAGAGCAGAGGAGGAGAAAGGTACTGTACAAGATAAACGTGATAGGTTGGCAGGTAACAAAGTGTTGATACACTAGTGACACTACCAAGAGGCCTGCACAAACGAACACTCTACATCATGTTTTGAGGAAACAGATTAGATTGGAAAAACTATAGGTTAAATTTTTCGACTACACATATATATTATATATTATTTTAAATCGGCAAGGCACAATATTAAACTACCAACTAGATCAGATCTTTTAGAAAGATGATTATTATCGATCATAACCATTTTTAGAATTATATCCGACAAAGCTAATTTTGTTTGTCAAACTTGTAGTAGGAAGTATCAGACGAAGTGCGATCTGCAAAAGGTAATACTCTAGTAACGATCTACTTTTGTCATCTGTGCCTCTGAATCTGAGTTATGCCGCCATTTTGCCACGATAAATGTCTCGTGTACTCAAAGATTCAATTCATAGCAACTTTTTATTCTTATATCTTACCATCAATTTTTCATGATTCAGCACACTCGAATAAAACATAAGGAGAAGCGGGACTTTATTTGCCTGGAGTGTTCGATAGTGTTCCCCGAGAGGCATAGTTAGTAACATAATTACTTTGTACATTGTAGAATAACTTTCTTCCTGCTTGCAATTAGGTATTCCGATATTTGGGCGCTTTTCGTAGGAAATATCTAACACTGGGGAACTTGATCGAGTAGTGCTCAATTCAACCATCAGTCTGTCAGATGCAGAGACTGCTCGTATGATACTCATGACTCATGAGTCACTCGCAAATAAATCAATATCTTTTATTATTTCTTTTATTATTATCGAGAGGAAAATTACATTAAATTCAGGAGAAGTACTAACAGAGACATTAAATGAGATTTCCTAAAACCCTACCTTTGCACTTCTTCCTCTCCTCCCTCTTCTTCCTCCTCCTTCTTGCTTCCTTTCTTCAGGTCAGACAATTTCATGCTTAATTCCACCTACAAGGGAAAAAAATGAATTAAAAGATTGATTTCAGTATTCATCACAGCGGCAGCGATACTTTTCTTGAAGTCCTCTGAACAATTTAAGTAAATATTAAAAACAAACCTTAGGATCTGTGTGCAGTACGAATACTTTCACGAGTTTTCCAAGGGGGAACATGGGTTCCCAATTCTTGAGGAAATTATCAGACATGTTCTTCATAAGCACCCGTCCTGAAAATGTGGTACAATGACGATTACAGGTAAGAGTATACCACTCTTTAGGTAAAGACGAGTTACAACAAGAATTGCGCCCGTTGTTTCGTTTTGGCGGACGCTAGATTTCCATTTCACATTTACTATAAATTTAAGTATAACTATAAGCTCCAATCAGCTCACTTCAATCTTCATGATAATAATATTGATCAATTATGCATCAAATACGGGAAACACTTGAAATTCAGTTCAATTGCCGTAGAACTTAACTTGTATCTGTAATTCAAGAAATTATCAGCAAAGGTAAACTATACTCGTGTACACATCAATACACTACGCGTGCCACGTACAAATTGGGTGTATTACCTAATAGTAATATTATACATTACTATACATGCATCATATACACAGTCGCGCCGCGCATTCATAGATCACAGGCTATCTATACATCACATCTCCTCAAGCAATCCTCGCGCGCGCCCAACTTTTTCGTTGCATGGTAACGAACGAACACACGACATATTTAAACCCACCTATCTCGTTCTCCAAAATCCACGTTTTTCTGCAAAAACCTCCATTCGTAACCTTTCACTATTGCCTTTTTTCAAAAGGGTGAAAAGGAAAAAAGCTTCCCTACAATCAAGAATAGAAAACCATACAGATCACTATTACGTTTTTACACTGATTATACCTGTAACGTTGTATCCGAGGGACACATAAATGCCAGCAGTAGCTGAAGTGGATCTAACATAGCCGCTGTACACTGAGTCAACCTCAAGATCCGCCGGGTTACTGATAATCTTGTTAGCTGCCTTCCGACCTCCAGCTGAAAATAAATCGCTTTACTTTTAGTGTTATGAGACCACTTCAGCAGAATACCGCAGAACTCGCGATTCCCGTAAGTATAAAATAATATGTAAAATATTGTAATATATGTTAGTTCTATATATGGTGATATATGTGAAATATGAGAAATGTGATAAAGAAGTTAACGAACTGGCTTTCTTCCAGCGCTGACTGGTCCTAGATTTCCTGAGAGACAGTGTCATACGTCTGTCCGTGCTAGTGGGAGGGACCACTACTACACACTGCACCAAGTCGTTCTCGTGGTACTTGGACAGTGGGTCTTTAGTGTAGTTATCTTGTGGGGTTTTGGATTTAATTAGAATTAGCGATATTAGGAATTCCCCTCTTGATAATGTTGGTTTTTAATGATTATAAAAATAATCCAAGTTAAACTATGCTAGTTCCAGTAAAGTAGTTCCACTGAGATCGAAAGAAAATGCAAACTAACACCTGTATTGAAATGACTTTTTACTCACCATTAAGTTCGGTGAGTGGAGCGATACCAAAGTCCCTGTTTGTAAGCTGCAGTTTTACACCAATACCAGGCAGGGTTCCTTTTACTAGGCACCAGAACTTGGCATCTGCAGCCAAGGCACCTAGGGAATAAGTAACATTAGCCAAAAAAGCAGCCACTGAATTATTGGATCGATACTATAGAAAAATAACGTTGCCTCATTCATTCATACGGTAACGTCTCAGCAGTAAACACCAGTTCTGCCAACTATCACCAAAATACCTCACTCAACAAAATGTCTATTGAAGACAATGTGTGTATAGGTTTGAACCTCCATATATTATCGACTTATCAACTCCACCTCCAACTAACAAGTACTATAATGTGAGCTTAAAGCTTAGAGCTTAAGTACTATGTAAGCTCACAGTAATAAGTACTAACCAACAAGGGAGAGATCTATCTTGTTATCTCGGGTACTGAAGACAGTAGCAGTGATACACTGTCCCACAGTGAATCTCTCTGTCCACTTCTCTACCTCCTCCTTGTCAGAAGAGGTCAGTGTGTGCCACAGCCTGGCTTCTACTCCTGGACTCAAACCTACCAAGAGAGGATGGTTAGAATAATTGTAGAGTCCTTGTACAAAAGAGGTATTTAGTCAAAAATAACAACTGAAATTTATTTGGAGGTATAGTTTTTAGAAGCCCAACAGCCGCTGGATCAAACTGCTGAACTTATGTCAGTAGAATTTAAAACATTGAGTTTGAGATGTAAAACTTACTTATCCAGAGGAAACCGGAATGGTCTATACATTTCACGTAACCAGTAATCTGCTGCCCCACCACTAGGGAAGATATCAAGTCCTTTGTTTCATCGACCTAGGTGAAACGAGTAAGAAGAGGCAAAAACAACACGTGGTGAGAACTTTGAAAGCAGAGCAATGTTACAAATGTTTGTATCTTCATAAATTGATCTTATTACATAGGTGAAAGTTTTAAAGTTTCAAACGAAAAAAGCTGAATCGTGAAAAATACCTGTTTGAAGAGGAAATAGCTCGTGTTTCTTCAAAAATGAATATTCATTTTTACATGGTTTGGATCAAATTAAAGTTTGCAGGATAAACCAAGCAATAAACATTGTGGTTCGACCGTGAACTGCGAGTCTATGAGTATGAGACAAGCAGTTCAGCATAGATGACGTCATCATATTGATGACGTCACAAAGAGTATGCATATATTTGGGCATCATGCACAATACCTTCTCGTTCTCCTTGATTTCCCTGACTTTAGTTGAGTTGATGACAGAGTCACGTAGACTAAACTCGCCCATTGATCTCACGTAGTCAGTCCGAGTTATTGGGAGGTAGCGGTGGGTCTTGGAATGCCTAAATTTAATTAATTAATAAATTGTTTAATTGCAATTGGCTATTAAGTCTTATAATCGAGTGGATCTCGAAACAGTCGGTACGATATATGGCATGGAGTAATCCTAAGAGTGTCACTCTCAATGCTAATTGTCTTTAGTTCAAAAGAGAGATATTCTGCCCGGTTACCAGTAGAACTAACCTGAATCCGATGAGTTTCACATGTAGACTATCACCATGTTTGTATTCCTTGAGCGGGTTACTACTAGGTTTAGGCGAATCAGTGACTTCTGTGATGTGTACTCTTCCGTTTACCTGTTATAAAGATATTTGAAATATTTATTAAACTTTAAAAATTCTGATCTAAGCTCACAAGTACCTAAATAAAACTAGTGCGATTTACAGTACGTCATGACAACCAGACATACAGACATCTGGAATGCAAGGAATTACCATTAACAAATCTGACTTGCTAACTCCAAATACCTTCTGACTAAGCTGAACGTTGAGCTGAAGTTGCTTTACACTCTTTACAGTGACAGTGTAAACTTCTCCTATATTGATATCGTCAAACTTGATAACATGGTCTTCTCTCCTCCTCTTAAGTTGTGGTTGCGAGGTAGCGGTCTCGGGGGTGGGACTCACAAATGAGAGTAACAGTCTCGTACCTGGAGAGTGGGGGCTATAAGTAGTGTTGAGGGTTCCGAGTTTTGTGCACAGAACAGTTTCAGCTCCCTCAATTCTGCTCAGTATTGTCTTAATTGTCCATGTTTTGGGACATGCTTTATCATTTTGGTGAGACAATGCCAAGAATCTCTAAAAACGTGACATCCAAGTATCCAAGCGAGGAGAAGGTTTTGTTTGACAAAGTTCGCTTTATATTACAATTGATGGACGTAATCTGCGATACATTTGAGAATCGATCTCGAATAATTAGTTACGTAAACATACGAATAGTTTAATGGGATCTTCTTTTATGAAAAGGCGTCATGTTCACGCTTCGGAATTGACGTCCGGTTTTTATTTTTACACACCCTGGACCAATCTGGTAAGAATGCTCCCTAAACAAGCAATACAAAACAAAACTTATAATTATAATCATATGATATAGTATATATACTATATCATATGGCTATATCATAAGGCTTATACTTAAGGATTATATTATATATAATATAATCCTTAAGTATAAGCCTTTAACAATAATCTCGATAATATAGATAAGTGTAAGACGTTACAATTACCGCAGTTTGATGTGATATTTATCTTTTGTCTTTCGATGGAATGTATGATGGTGATATGTCTCACAAATGGCCGTTTACTCGTCGAGATAATTGAGTTTTATAGGCCAAATATTATTATTAAGAAATATTCCTGATAGAAATTCGTGACCATTACCTTTCAGTTTTGATATTATTTACTTCCTACATTTAGTTTATTTATATAATCTTCGTTTGTAGTTTGACCTTGTTCATTGTTGTTCTCAGTATAGCATTTCTACAGAGAAAATATCTCCAGTTAAAGCCCAGATTTCGTGATGAAGTTCGCATTTGGTTTTCTGGAGATCCTACTCTTCACTCTACATACACTCCCAGTATTATCTACAATAACTGAGGTCATCAACCTGACCGCAGAAAGCTGCTCTAACGCAACCACATTCCAGAAGATACAGGGCTCATTCCAAGCGTACAGCGTGTACATCGACCTGGACGAGGGTATGGACGAGTTTAAACCAATTGTTGTGACCTGTGGACTCAACGCAGCAGTGCCAGAAGAGTGCAAGGAATTAGTTGAGGGTACAATTGAGGACATTTCAATCTCAATGAACGGCACAATTAAAGATCGCATGTACAACGAATACTACAGACCAGACATAAAACAGTTTGGCAGTGCACTTCATTTCGAGCAACACGAGAAAGCAGAAGTTAAGTGCATCACGACTTTAAGCGGAGGAGGTGTACTGGTTTCAAACGAAAAGACCATCAGCGATATAGACGAGCTCCACCCCTTCATGATATTCCCAGCACAACAGGACGTGACAGTGGGAAACTCCTACACTTTAACCTGCAAAACAGATGTGGCAAGAGCGCTGGATGACTTGTCGTGGACGCTGTGGAACGGGGTGGAGGGGTTTGAGACTACAGTGAGTTGCGCTGATGATGACAGGTTCACATGTGGAACTGTGAAGAGGACTGCTACCAACCTGCCCGGGTCGGTCCTGACAGTTTCTACCAGTGAGCTGGAGAATAATGTCATCTCTAATCCGATAGAGTTCACGTACCGTTGTAATTCAGCAGTTAACCACACCCACCAACATAAGATGATGGGAGAGGCACGCGTCACTGTACACCCCAAAACGGTATAAACTTAATGACGAAAATCAATTTTTTAAGGTCTTGACTCAATTAGGCCCTGCATAATATCTGATTAAATTGTGCTATGATAGCTTTCGTTATATGTTCAATCTTAAGCTATTGATACTTGTTAGGCAATGTCCAGTATACATTTTACAAAACATAACAGACCTATAGTCTCTAGATAATAACACTTCCCATCTCCTTCAGAGCAAAGCTATGGGAATAGGACTGGGAGTAACAGCTGGTATTTTAGTGCTAGGTGCTATCATAGCTGCTGCAGTTATCATATTCAAACGATCTAAACTCACCACGGTAAGTTATACTATTGTCTATTACAATAGGATTACAGACTGGGTACCTTACATCACGTGACAGGTAATAGTTTTGTGAAGCAACATGAAACTATTTTTGACGATCATTTTCCGCAGGTTATGATGTACGGCAAGCTGGAAGAAACAGACGCATAGTGAACATCACAGAGCGCCTGCTGCACTGAGGCCGCCAATCTTGAGAGAAAATTTAATCGAGCGAGCATAATATTGGACGTTATAATTTTGTTTCGCCATTTGTTAATTTCTTTATCTTGTCTTGTCTGTTTAACGATTGTTTAATAGTTTATCGTGATGTAGATTGTAAAGCCATAAAGAAATTGGACGGTATTGCAGTTATAGTTGTATTCTTTTTAAATTCAATATTTTCTATCTATGAAATTGATGATGATATCGGTGATACTTGATTAAATACCCGACCCAAATCAATGTTTGATAACATTTTATGACTTTTTAAACTAAAATGTGTAATCCTTACTTCCCGAAAACTTAACATTTGTCCAAATACAAATTGAAAACAAACTACAACTATAATGTCCACGAGATAATAAGTACAGACTGACTGGTCTTACCTTTCTTGTCCCTGCTGATAGTGACTGTTTGTTCATCACCACACTTGACATCCTTGTAACTGCTTCCTAGATCACTGAGGTGAGCTCTGCGGTGCACGTACCCAAACCTAGTAGAGTTAAATACTGTTAAAGCGAGATACTTATTATCATAAGATGTAGAACCCTAAGTATCAGAGGTATATGATATTTCGACAGAAATGTCACAATTCTTCTTGGTACATACAAATATTAACCCAATGATCAAGATCCTTAGCTAACATGGTAACATTTGGACTATAAAACATATTTAAGTCACAAACATGGCCTAAACATCAAAAAACTGATCATAAAGATTTCTGAGATGAAATCACAAAAGTACAAACCTGTGATCAGCCCCAGGTAGAACAACTACAAAGTAATCTTCAGTCGTTAACACTACAGTGGCAGACATCTCAGCTCCTTTAGTCAACTTCTTCCTCTTCCCCCTTCCCTCGACACTCTCCACCAGTTCCGGCTCCAGAGACAGATAATACGTTCCTGCATTGTGATCCAAAACAACCCCTTTCCTCTTATCTCCAGCCTTTAGCTCGCCCTCAGCACAGGTTCTATCAACCATCCCTGGCGCTTCTCCAACTTTTACTTCGTACCATTTCTCTGATACGCTCTCAATGTTACATTCCACTATAGATCCCGCAGGTTGGTCCACGGTATCTGCAAATGTGTCCAGTTCCTTGAAATACCCCTCCAATAGTTTAGATCCTGTTAAAGACGGTTCTGACCCCACGTCGGAGTGCTTTAAACTGACCAACAAACGCTCCTTTTCCGTATCTATGTTGGTTATCTTGCACATAACCGTCTCTCCTAAACTGTAAACATCTTTGGGGTTGCTGACGAAATTGTCAGCCAGACAAGATTTAGGACACAGCCCAACTAAACCGTTACCGATCTCAATAAAACAGCCATAGTCTTTGAAATCCTTGATGTAGCCCACGATAAAATCTCCCACTGACAGGTCTGAGATTTTGGGCATTTCCTTGAAACTTTTGGCCCAGCTGACGATGGACGATTTGGCGGTGACGTTAACCTTCTTCATTTTCTTGCTGATTACAAGGACAGGTTCAATCTTGGAACCTGGCTGGAGATGTTTAGTTTTCTGATCAGACAGTGTGGCGTAATCTGATAGGTGGTGGGTTGGGAGGAATGCTTCTTCTTTAGTAGCGTCTAGTTGTACTATAAAGCCCTCGATTACACCTTTAGCACGTGACAGTACCTGCAATAGTGTCATCAGGGGGGGGGGTCCAAGGGGAACTTTGGGGAGTTTTGGGGAACTTTTTTTTGGGGAACTTCAGGAAACCTGGGGGACTTTCCCAAATTAAAGTTCCCCAAAAAAATTATCAATGAAACAAATAATTTTGGGGAATTTTGGGGAACTTTTTTTTGGGGAACTTCAGAAAGTTCCCCAAAATTCCCCAAAGTTCCCCAAAGTTCCCCAAAAAAATTATCATGCCAAAAAAATTATCATGCTGCAAGTATCAACAAGTAAGTTAAGATTATACCTTATAATAACATACATGTTAACATTAATGGGTATTAATGTATATTAGAGAAATTTTGAATAATTTTGAATAATTTTGAATAATTTTGAATAATTTAGAATAATTTTGAATAATTTTGAATAATTTTGGGGAATTTTGGGGAACTTTGGGGAGTTTTGGGGAACTTTTTTTTGGGGAACTTCAGAAATCTTGGGGGACTTTCCCAAAGTTCCCCAAAGTTCCCCTTGGACCCCCCCCCCCCCCCCCCCTCATCAGTGTTTGTAAGGATGCAAACAGCATCGGTATGTAGTAAGGATAATTGTAGAGCTGACTTTAACAGATACGGACAGTAAATTGCCAGCTTTACAGATGGTTCCACCCTATATGATTACAACAGCGCTATAACCCTAACCCATGATAACCTTGTCGTGATATAGTGCTGTCGTAACGAAGTGCAGATTTATTTAAGTGTGAATGTGAACCAATAAGAGAGACTGTTTATCTTACTGTGCAGGAGTGAATTTGTCCTCGTCTAGCCCATCTGGCGGACTTTTCTTCGCTGGTTTTAGTGTCAAATTCCTCCAGTAGGTTCAAACTGAGAGACAGCTTCTCTTTCTCTGGGTTCACGTGGACCACTCGGCAAGAAAGAACCTGAAATGAAAGTCATGAGATCATAAAGTTGCATATACACCGGACTTCTCGGGGAAAGGAAAATGCACAGTATAAAAACCCGGTATAGCGGTTCACGTGATCCAGGCTCTAGCCTCTAAGTATATGTACCCTCTCAAATCCAATGTCAAACCTTACGTTCGTCCCATACTTTTCGCGAATATTCTCTCGCGCCGCGAAAAGCGGGATTCGATGTCGAAATTTTCCCCCGTTATTCGGTAATTCTACACGGATGTGGTAATGTATTCGCGTGATGACAAATTTTCAGCAAATACGTCTCCGCGCGTTCCGCTTTAGAATTTAAAATGTGACTGCCCCGACCACGTTTTCTTTGTACAAAGGCGCGAAATTACAGAAAAACCATATTTTATAAACTGACCTGCCCGAGTCTGTACAGTTTGCATATATCTGCCTCGGTCATAGGCACGTTGGATATTTCACTTGAGTGAACCAAACCCTGAGGATGGTAAGGATTAACAATTAAGCAACTTTAATCCTAATCGGGAAAAAATTGCATCTCCAGAACACACAACAGAAGATGTTTAAAAAAGTCGTAAACTGTTACTAAGATCATATTTGAGTTAAAGAAAATCGCTCCTCTGCATACCCTGATTTTAGAGGTGAAGTTCATGATGATACCAAACTGTTTTATGGCAGCTATCCAACCAGTTACTTGTTGGTTCTTTTCAAGTGTCTCGTATCCTGTCACATCTGCCGTACTAGGAACCACAGGTTTTATTACTTCTGGTCGTAGTTTTGAGACAACGAATAACTTTTAGAAAACGAAAAATGTTAAAGTTGAAAATTTCGTAATTCAGACAAATTAAATCTCACTCTGGTTGATAAACTTCTTGTACCGATCACGGATTAGAAATCAACATGATGATCAATAAAGAAACCTGTTTTTGACGACACTCCGTTTCAATGTTAGAGTCAGTCTGCGTTTAGAAGGGTCTACAGTCAGCACCTTCGCTTTGACCCTCTGATTCTGTTTAAACTTGAGAGCTGGGTTCTTGATGTTGATATCAGCCATGTGGATCTTCGGTACAAAACCTGCGGTCACGTGCTCAGTTAGATCGTCGGATTAATAAAACGCTCAGATGATGTGTAATATCTTATCGTATAACTCACGAGATGTATCAAAGGCTGGTTTTGTGGAACAGAGAATTTAATGACAAATCAATAATACATTAGGTTAAATGGAACATCTACGTGGTGCTAAATAAACTGGAGACATTACAGAATAATTACCTCTGATGTTATCCGCAAGCTTAACAACCAGCCCGAAGTCCTCAATGCTGACTATAGTAGCCATGACAACACTGCACACTGTTATATCGTGGTACGACAGAAATGGTTTATCTAGATCTGACTGTCTTAAAGATAGTTGGACCTGGGATATTTCATTGTTAACAAATATAGATGGTCACGAGTGTTGATTATTCGTTTAGCTGAACCTATTTGGCGGGCATACGCTTGTAGTTCAGAAGAAAACAATTCTACTTCGCAACAGAGAAAAACTGAAAAAAAACTGTGCCAATATTTTATAATTCGACCAATAACTAAAAGTACCGAGTGTAAAGGTGTTATACACTAGGTCCGGAGTGTAGATAGTACTTACCAAGTTATCCAGGACCCTGAAGCCCATGACTCTGGCTTTGTGCTGTGTTCCAGCCTTGAAATTAGCTCCAACTTTCTCTGTCTCCTTGTCTTGCAGCTTCTTCAGGTGGACAAATCCCGTGATATCTGATAGGAAGTGTGATAAAAGGTGTGATTAAAGTTGCGGGAAGTACAGCAACGAAACACAAAACTTTTATCGCAGAACGAAATATGACTATCTTCGAGGTATTTTACAATGCTACACGCCATCCAACAATTTCACTGCCATTTTCCTGATAAGATATCTGTGACATTCTTTCAGACTCTGTATTACTGTTCTAAATTAATGTAAGAGATAAGAACTATTTTCATTCCCTAATAGTGTTATTATATTTATGTATGTGTGTATATCTTTAAATTGATTGTAATTAAACATTTTAAGGCGTTAATGCAGAGTACTGCCTCGGGGTAGTGCAATCCATCAATAACTAAAACTTTCGTATTCACTATCATTTATACGATATAATCATATTCATTTTTGTTCATTATCATTCATATTGACCATAGCATGAGGTCTCGAGGTTCATACACGGCAGTATTAATACAAGTGATATAAAGACTGACTAGACTGAAGTACAGACTACTGACTGAACTACAGACTACTGACTAAACTACAGACTACTGACTGAACTACAGACTACTGACTGAACTACAGACTACTGACTGAAGTACAGACTACTGACTGAAGTACAGACTACTGACTGAACTACAGACTACTGACTGAAGTACAGACTACTGACTGAAGTACAGACTACTGACTGAACTACAGACTACTGACTGAACTACAGACTACTGACTGAAGTACAGACTACTGACTGAAGTACAGACTACTGACTGAAGTACAGACTACTGACTGAACTACAGACTACTGACTGAACTACAGACTACTGACTGAACTACAGACTACTGACTGAACTACAGACTACTGACTGAACTACATGCTACTGACTAAACTACAGACTACTGACTGAAGTACAGACTACTGACTGAACTACAGACTACTGACTGAAGTACAGACTACTGACTGAAGTACAGACTACTGACTGAAGTACAGACTACTGACTGAAGTACAGACTACTGACTGAAGTACAGACTACTGACTGAACTACAGACTACTGACTGAACTACAGACTACTGACTGAACTACAGACTACTGACTGAACTACAGACTACTGACTGAACTACATGCTACTGACTAAACTACAGACTACTGACTGAAGTACAGACTACTGACTGAACTACAGACTACTGACTGAAGTACAGACTACTGACTGAAGTACAGACTACTGACTGAAGTACAGACTACTGACTGAACTACAGACTACTGACTGAAGTACAGACTACTGACTGAAGTACAGACTACTGACTGAAGTACAGACTACTGACTGAAGTACAGACTACTGACTGAACTACAGACTACTGACTAAACTACAGACTACTGACTGAACTACAGACTACTGACTGAACTACAGACTACTGACTGAAGTACAGACTACTGACTGAAGTACAGACTACTGACTGAACTACAGACTACTGACTGAACTACAGACTACTGACTGAAGTACAGACTACTGACTGGAGTACAGACTACTGACTGAACTACAGACTACTGACTGAACTACAGACTACTGACTGAAGTACAGACTACTGACTGAAGTACAGACTACTGACTGAAGTACAGACTACTGACTGAACTACAGACTACTGACTGAACTACAGACTACTGACTGAAGTACAGACTACTGACTGAAGTACAGACTACTGACTGAACTACAGACTACTGACTGAACTACAGACTACTGACTGAAGTACAGACTACTGACTGAAGTACAGACTACTGACTGAACTACAGACTACTGACTGAACTACAGACTACTGACTGAACTACAGACTACTGACTGAACTACAGACTACTGACTGAACTACATGCTACTGACTAAACTACAGACTACTGACTGAAGTACAGACTACTGACCGTCATCAAGTGAGACATACACCCCACGTTTAGTAACCCTGACCACCTCCACATCCTCCACCACATCACCCTTCTTTAGTTGGTAGCAGGGTGTCTCCATGGTTACATGGCAGTTCAATGTACTCAACAGCACTGTCTGAGAGTTGTAACACTGTTACATTAACACTGTTACATTTGCAATGATTTACACTGTTACATTTACACTGTTACATTTACAATGATTTACACTGTTACATTATGTTTACAACTTCTAACCAAATATTCTAGTGAGTAGCTACAGTAGAGAATTGTGTACCTTATCACACAGTAAATCCTTAATTTATCTACTAAAATGAACCTATAGCATCATCAAGACAGGGTACAACTCACCTTGTTTTCAGGGTTAATGAGGAGGACTCTGGCGGCTAACTTGCGTTTAGCAGGGTACACCTCCAGTACACTCTTACTGTTGTACATGTCCTTCAGATGTATTAGGTGTACGGAGCCCTGTTAGGGATATTCAGGGTCAAACGGGGATTATTTAGTTGTGAATAAAAGAAACATCGCGATAAAATAACACATAGTAAGTTTTTAAGTAAACAAGTAAATATATTTAATAGCCAGAAGAAGAAATATCTCCATGGACCATAGTAGAAATAAAGCTCCTCTAGCATAGGAACTGACCGGATATCCGGCTGAATCCGGTTCCAGCCGGATATTCGGCTTTAATCTCCGGTTCCGGTTCCGGTTTCGGTCCGGTTTCCAAAAATTTGGCCGGATATTCAACAGGACATTTCTTTTTTAAGTGTTCCTAAAATGTATAATATTTCTGTCAAAATTCTTACTAAGGGGCATCCAGTCCATTGCTCTCAGTGACCGGTAAATTCCACGCCTCCACGGTCGCCTGTTATCTGTCAGCGAATGTTCAAGACCCGTTGATGTGAGATTTTTGAGTGGGTTAGAGTCAAAACAGCTACCATTTATGCTTTACTTATGAGCATTTCAAGCAGAGCCCAGAGGGTCCCTGCTTTATTGTGGTAAACAAACCCGTTGCTAACTCCCCTTACATGTCAAGGATTAAAACAAAGGCCATCATGCCATTAAAAACTTTGGACATTATCCTCGGTTATATTGACGCCACGAACTTATAAGAGCTGCACTGGCTGCTGGATCTTGGGCTTTACTACTGAAGCAATTTGTACATTTGTGCTAGGCAAGGCGCAGTGAATTCTTGCAATGTTTTGATTTTATTCCAACTCGTTTCTAGCTCTGCTCATACAGCAGATCAATCAGTGACCTCTGCACTGCTCGCACAACATATCAACAAGTGACTGCTGCTCACAGCGCAGAAGTTTGGTTGAAATTTGAAATAGGGCGTGAACACAGTTAGTCGGACTGTAAGCACTTTCTCATTGTGTCCACATGGCTTTTAATATTATAATTGATAAAACCCACAATCAAGGATTAATCTCAATTTTCCGGCAGCCTTAAATATCTTCTTCTTATTACCCGGTTCCGGCCCGGAAAAATGCGACAAACCGGAATATCCGGTCTTTTCTGGTCCGGCAGCCAAAACCTTAGACCGGTCGGTTCCTACTCTAGCAAAACGGGGGGAATGCAACGTCAATTAATGTCAATTAATGTCAATTAATGTCAATTAATGTCAATTAATGTCAATTAATGTCAATGTCAGTTTTGCAAAATTTTGGAATACTGACATTAATTGACATGATATTTTTCGACCAGAGATTATGTAGTTCTACCATATTTTTAGCACTTTAGAACGTTTATATCATCAATTTATTCACTACTATCACATATGGAAATGTGAAATGTGAAAAAATTCAGATCATTAAACAATAAAACTAAAATAATACGGTTTCCCGAAATTTAATTTTCTTAAATGGGCTTGGCCATCCAAGGGCGTGGTTCTCAACATCATCAGAACTTAAAACCCACATTAAACGAAATGCCTTCATGACATTTATTTTTGAATAACGAATTTTAAACAGCTAACATTACTCCTTCATACTAAAAAAAGCCGATTCTAGATATTTTACCTGTATAAGAAACCAATAAAATATGGGCGTGGCCGGTGGGGACCGAAGATGGAAGAGTTGGAAGCTGAAATTTTTTTGGTGGTCTTTGAACCTAAGGATCAACAGATAAGAACATACTCATAATTATTTAAGGACATTTTGTTTTTTTGAACCGATCTAACTTACATAGACGTGAATATCTTGAATATTTATCGAATAATGTCAATTAATGTCAATTAATGTCAATTAATGTCAATTAATGTCAATTAATGTCAATTAATGTCAATTAATGTCAATGTCAGTTTGGGGTTTTTATGGAATACTGACATTAATTGACGTTGCATCACCCCCAGCAAAACAGTCCCTAAGTGGAAGAGTACCTACCAGGATACCCCCAAGGAAGGTACATCTCAGTCCGTTAGCAGCCTGTTTCTTAACGGTGATATTAACAAGGTGACCTGGCGTCAGAGAAGAGAACGTTGTTACTGTTTTCTCCGAAAGTGCTTTCATCCCTACCGCGTACAGTCCTGTGTTAATTAGACTGTGTTAATTAGACAGTTAATAAGAGATGATTAATAATTTATCTCCCTGCTAAAATTAAAATATTTTAATTATAAATGTATGACCCTGACTACACTGCCAGAGCTACCCAATTATACAGAGTGGCCCAGAAGTAACTGCCCATACGCGACCCTTTAATAACTCACGTAATTCTTCTTAGAATTGCACAGAAATTTCAGAGATTATAGATATGAGTCAAACTTATTATTGTATTATTCAATCTCAAACTCTGGAGAGAGAAATAAAAACAATTTAATAATCCCGGGCTGCACAATTTATAACACACCTCACCTAAAATAAGGTTGCCATCGTTAACCGTATTGACCACCACCCGGACAATATCACACTTCTTCAGGAGCACTGCAGCACTCTTGTTGAGGAAGGCTGTTACTCCCTTGACTCCCACGTTCACCATGTACCCGTACTCTTCAACACTCTGGATGACTCCTTGTAGCACCTGTTTTTAATGTTACAACTTCAACTATCAGATAATCCTAAAACTGTATTTTTGTTTAAAATAGTGGCACAATAATTTAAAGTATTTTAAAGATGAAAACCTACCGGAAATAAGGTTCCGGCTAATAAAGCAACATTGAAACATTTCATACTAAAAAATATATTCTTATGAAGAAGGTAAGGTGGTCACTAGTCCTTTAAATCGAATGAAATCACCTACCATATTCTTGTTGATATCCTGTTGCTTGACAGAAACGTTCACTATCTCCGGTTTGGTGGTGAGGTTGAGTTTGCGTGTCTTGTCAACAGTAACTACATCAACAACCGAGCAGGATAAGAACTGTCCCACTGATACAACGTCACAGAGGTCTAGTTCCTGAAATTAAGTGGAACTTACAGGAGCTTAAAGAATAGAGATACTATGTTATAGGTGGCTTACATTATAAATTGATGTTCAAAAGAAGGCTGTTTAGGAAATTGTTATGATTAATTTAGTATCGAATCTCTGAGTTTGAGTATAGAACAGTGTGGTGAACTCTCACGCCCACCGTTCTGTAAGTACATTTCTCTTCTTCAAATCTACAACAGAGGAAACTAACCTCTTCACCTTCTGCTTCCTCGTCACCTTCAGCGTTGTTCTCGATAACACTGTTAAATTCCTCGCTGATATCAGTACCTAGCATATTATGATAATAATTAGATATGGCTCAACACAAGAATTCAATATTGATATAAATTACTTCTACATCTAGTTTCTTCATTTCATTTTTCATTCGGTATGCATTTAACATTGCACTTAATTTGTTATCAAAATATTTTATCTTAGCTAGATCTAATTCAAAGCTTATTTGGTGCCACACATACAATTTAACATAGAAATGCATATTCACATTACCTCTGATAAAGCCAGTCAATCCATTGGGCAGGTTCACTACCACATCAACCTCACCAACTTCAGAAACAACACCGAGCATCAGCATACCAGGGGACAGTTTCTAAAAACAGAATATCCACATTAATATGTTGTTAGAGAGTGATATTTTGGATTTGTGCCAATGAGACGATACAAAGGTCAGGTCATAGCAAGTGTATTATCAACTTAATAACACCAGAATGTGTGTGTGTCTGTGTGTGTGTCTGTGTGTGTGTCTGTGTGTAATTTCCGAACGGTTATACAAAAAAAACGGTAATAGTTACGGGACTGGTTTTTTCGGTATAGTGCCGACAAAACTCTGACGAAGCCAATAAGCAAATTTTATAAAAATCGGCCGGTGGTAAGTGGTTTAATTGATGGTTTTGTACCACAAAATATGTTACATAAAATGGCTTGAGAAGAACGGCAAGAGTTACGGGGCTAGCTCTCTCTCTGCATATGTAGCGTATATATTACATGGCGTATATATTACATGGTCATATAATACTATAAACTTATTAGGGGAGGGAGTGCTCAAACGGTCTGTTTGGACTGTAGAGAGAGTTCATACTTTCATACGACAATGTAATGCATGTTCACAAATATGATAGGCTGGTGTGGTGCATGGTGTTAAGGGTTAATTTCTATTGATTATTCATTAAGAATTACTATCTTTTAAGCATACTATTGGATACGTGAGGGCACTCCGAATAGAATTGCTCGCCTAATCCGGGTTTTGACTCAGCGGGTAATTACTCCTACCCTTTTTAACTGCGGCAGTGAAATCCCGGCCGTAGGCCGGGTTACACTAGTAATATTATATAATTAACAATAAATGTGTTTATCGTTTACCTTGTATGTAAGATCTTCCAATGGTTTTCCCAGATCAGAAATAGAATCATCTTTAGACTTTTTGGCTATGGATTTTTCCGAGAATATATGCTCTACTTTTTCTTTCTGAAAATACAATTTTTAAAGAATTCTGTATTTAATCAATATCCACACTCAGAAACCACGGCCAGTTTCAGGTAAATTTTGGCGCGGACAAATTGGTTCTACTCATGTGTAAATTTGAAGAAAAATACACCGATGCTGAATGAAAATCAACAGCCAGATATCGACGAGCCAAAAATTACAAAGAGTCTATCTGAGGCATACTCAGGAGTTGATTTCGGTGTTTAATATCGTGCTTAAACTAATTACAAACTGTTTAGATGTTCACGTGACATATTTGGTAATCAGAATACCCACACTCCACAGTCGCTACGTTGCCCAGGTTTAGATCAGGGTTAATGCGTACCAGGACGGGTATTTCTTTTGAGTTGACGAACTTAACTGAGGTGCGCTCCAGCCCTCAGTCAGTTTTAATTACGTGCTGAATATTATATTTAAGATTTAATCTATTTATGTTTCTATGTTTTATATTCATAATTTTTTTAATTTTGTCTTTGCCTTATGATGAGTTATACTTTAGTTCACTTTTACACATTTGCTCACATCACTGACAGTCAGCCGCTCTGACATGGTTAACCACCTTCCTTGTGTTGTTGGTTAATCATATGAGCGGGATATAAATACCTCATTTCATTTCATTATGTAATAAATATATTATATTCGTAAACATTGGCTGGCTAACAAACCAGTCCCAAAACAACAAACCATCAATCCTCTCAGCCCAGTGACATAAATTTAAAAAGGGACTAGGAATCCAGTCTGGAAAGAAAAAACGGCTACCATATATTTTTAAAACGACTACCATAAATTTTTCGGCCGCTCCGCGGCCGGATAACGATTTCATTTTACTTTGCTAGTTATATTACAGAGGTTTAGTTATTCATTAGTATAGTTATTAATTCATTAGTATAGTTATTCATAATTGCCAAAAGATTGTAAAAGAATTCCTTTCCGGGTCTCGAACTCGCGATCTGCTAATGTAGTAACGACGGATTATCCAACTAGGCTACGATTTCATGTACGCTTTTGTAATATTTACATATAGATCTTCGCGCGTTCCTGCAACTACCATACTACCATACTACCAAACAGTCCATACTACCATACTGGTAGTAGGAAAATCTTGGATCCTGACAGAAATATCTTGGATTATTTGGTAACGCGCAAGTTAAGCGCAAGAACTAGGATCCTGACAGGAATCTGGCATTTGCGCTCGATTCGAACATCTTCTCGGATAAATATAGAATTAAAGTACAGTGCGCGGCGTTACAGTGTGTAACAACCGAGAGCGACTATTTTAAAGTTGATTTAATAATTTTGTTGACAAAAATTAGTCGGCGTGGCTATGGAAATTAATATGGCTAGGAATTAGATTCTTAGATTCCTCACTTTATGTCACTGGGCCTCTCAGTTCCATAGTACATGAACGAATTTGTATGATTATTGTATTTTCAAAATAATAGTAAACTGTTACTGTAAATAGGCCTTGTGATATCATTTCGCCATTTTTCATTTTGCTTGTTCGCGTAACAATTGGGCCATTTTTAATCGTTTAAACGATTGTAAGCACTGTCTAATACATTTAAATACAACAGCCTCTAAAAACTATTCGGCGTTCATTATTCGTAATGACCAGACCGTTGAGTGATCGATTATCAACTGTTTTGGGATTAAATTTGTTTACCTGGCAGTATTTTCTTCTGCTTTTTTATTTTTCATTAGTCCTTTTTGTTTTTGGAAATTGCCGATTAAATGTATATTATGATACACTTAATTCAAGAGTTGAATTAGGTCAAGAAACCAGGTGGAACGAGAATGGATATTAAACTTTCGATCGCACTACTGATCGTCTTAGTTCAGGGCATCTTCTGTCAAGGTAAGATGTTTGAAATTGAATGAATAAAATGTACCTAATATGTCATCATTTGTAAGAAAACAGCTAAAGCGTGCACAAATTTAACCGTGTAAGTTCGTTCGTTTAGTGCTAAAATGCGTACAATTTTATTGTCTTAATTAAATGTAGGACAGCGGAATTATACATGAATTGATGTTACCATTGTTAACTATTCATGCAATACTCAGTAGTACATTAATTTACTCTATCAGGTGAGTTCGAGATAAAGTGGTTCTCTAACGGGAGATGTGGGCCCCACGTCATTGTGGGGAATGGTATCCCCTCCCTGATGGCAGTCCTGCTGATTATTTTGTCTGTTGTTGCTAAGTGTAGCGTTAAGGTTTTTGATGATGTTGGCGTGTTTGCAGCCGAGTGTCATTTTGGTGTGTCTGGTACCATCAGTTAACCATCGCATCAGTTTCCTGACCCGATTCACCGTACAGTTTGCGTGAAATGAAAATAGTAAATTGGGGTTTTACTGTACATGGTTTCGAGAAAAACTAAATCGTCAGGAACCTGTTCAAAGCGTGACGTAATGGTCGATATTGCGAAATCCTTATTAGAGGCCATTCAATTTCGACTGCGTGGGGTTGACTATTAAGTTTCTATAAAGGAGGTGGTTGGCAGAACCACCTGTATTTAATTGCTATTGTTAGAATAGTATTCTACCTATTCACAAACTTTATCATGTCATTTTATTTAAATATCACTAGGATTTTAGCTAATGATCATGATAATCTACAAGCACTTAACTGGGGACCCCAGGCTATATATAATAATGTTCATAAACATATAATAAAGATTCCGCCGAATAAGGATACCGCCGAATGACAGGCTGAGCGCGGCCCCCTAAACAAGCACCTGCTCAAATTGCCTTTTAAATTCGATCATTAAATCGATTCAGTGATTTCTCTCATAACAGCAGAATAGGTATTAGTGGGCCATAATATATTTGATTTTGTTGCCATCACAAGTCATTTTTCTTTGCCAATTATACATAGTGTACATAACATGACTACACATGTGCAGTGGTAAGCCAGTTTCCGTGCAATTCGAAATTGCATCGATTAATATTTTATTTTTGTTATTTCTTATTTAGGGGTCGTTCACATATTACGTAATCAGCGGAGGGGGAGCTAGGGGGTTTAGTTCCCAAGTTTAGTTCCCAAATGATAACGGTGGGCCGGGGGGATTTGGTTGTTGATTACGTACTCAACATTTTCTTTTTTACCCTCAAGAATAATAACAATTTGACAATATTTTAATTCAAATTCCGCTCAATTTCACTCTGATAATGATAAAATAGAGGAAAGTAGGAATGGATCGGGTATCCGGCTGCTAAAGTAAGTAGTTGGGAAGATGCTTGGCCGGATATCATAACAATGATTCCGGCTCATAATGATCAGGGTAGCATGAAACGTAGAGAAATGTGTTTGCCAGGGAAAAAAGTCAAAAGGGGGGGGGGGGGGGGGGGAGGGTCAGGGCATAATTACGTCATGATTACGTCAGGGTTTGGTTATGACATGGTTATGACATGGTTATGACATGGTTATAACATGGTTATAACATGGTGATTACATGGTTAAGATGTGACATGGTCATACTGTCGGGATTCTAGTCTATGACCTAAAGTTAAAGTCTCATACAAAAATATTGAAATTTAATCATTTTCGGGGCCAAAAGCCATCACATTTTGTTTGTGTTTCCAAATATGGGCATTTAGTTTTTGGCTCATAACACGGCCATTTTTTGTCCAAACTGGATGTAAATTCGTGTATGAGTTCAGGGGACTAACAAATGGCTTAGCTTGTAAATCTTAACGAAGAATATAAATCTACTAATTGTAGGTATATTGAATTATATTAAAATGTAGGTTTTTTTCCGATTTTGACCCGGGGATACACTTTAATATACTTTAATATACCTATATCATCTCGATTCAAAATTTGGCCGCTTGATTTCTTTAAAGGCCTATAATGTATAGATTAGATTTGACCAAAACCCATAATCATGGGTAGAGTGGACCGCTGCCAGTGTCTCTCTTTCCCAAACAAAAGGAAATGATGTTAATTTGATTGACCGTTCTCAAATGCAAAATGATACCGAGAATGAAATCGGTCGCTCGCTTATCCCATTCATTCACGGCTTACGAATTGTAATACGTTTCGATTAATTACATCAATCAAATGCCATGCTGTCAAAATCTCTTTGAGTTGCGTTCGGGTCGATACCTAGTATTTCGCGATAAGGGTGGTAGTTAGTGAATTAGCTGAAATTTATTGAATCTTTATTGCCGAGTACAGCTGCCTTCGGGTAGTTCTTCTTAATCTATTACAATTGCGTGCGCATTTTTGCATGTTAGTGTTTTATATATAGTTTGATAAGCATGCAAAGTTTCAAAGTATTTCAAGAAGAACTGTAACCACAACGGCACTCCAAATGCAAAGTTGACAGAAAATGGTGAAAACAGCAATTTTCAGTGACTTTAGCAATTTTCTATCAATTTGGGCGTGTCCCCACGTGTGCAACTTTGCGATTTTCCACTTTAAAACTAGCCTATGACACAATTTAGACCTTTAGGAAGCAAAATTAAGCTCCACAACCCAAGGGATAGCTCAACACGGTCAGAGAATACTAGAACGTAAAATTAGCGTTTTTATAAAATTATTCTTAGATTCTTTAAAAAAGCACTAACTTCAATAGCGAATATCTTTATGAAGGAGCAAGCTAGAAAAACTTTCCGGTAGATTTTCAGAATGCTTAAACAATTATCTAACTTCAATATGTCCTCAAATTTTGAATAAAATTACTTCTTAATGGCGTAAAATCAATTTTAAAAGTGATTACTTTGTCAAAAATCAAGTTATAAAAATGGTTAACTTGATGACGTCATCAAGTGGTGATGATGACGTTGAATTACTTTTTAATATAATATAAAACTAAAGTCTAAACAATTATTTTCAAGACCTGTGGTCCGATATGGCTGTACCTTTAAAGCTTCTGAATCTACGGACACCTGAATATAACCTATAATTGACTGGCAAAGCGTCTATCCCTGAATAATGAATATATATAATATGTCACGACAAATGACAATCTGTCGTAAAAC